AGCTCTATGTGGACTCCTCTGAATATCACAGGATCTCAGAGGTGCCAGGTACCATGGACAGCACCTCATTCAAGGCATACCTGAAGAATATATTTATAAGTTGTGTGACTCCAGGCAATTCACTTGGAGCCTTAGCTTCCTCACTTGTAAAAAGGGAGGGTTGAACTGGATGACATCTTAAAGTCCATTTCAGCTCTAAATCTATGATCTTATAACCTGCCCGACAAGTTGCCAGCCTTCTAACCTTTGCCTGAAGATCTCTCATGAGGAGGAACTCACTGCCTCCTATGGTAGGCCATTCTACTTTCGATGTCTCTAATTATTAGGAATGTTTATGTTTCTCTTGTATCAAGACTAAAACTGTCTGTTCAATATCCATTGATTATTTGGGATGATGCACATAACTACAGGAGTTAGGGACAATAATCTTTTGAAGTCCCTTTCAGTCAAGCGCTTTGATCAGATTTCATCAGATTATGGGATTTATAAATTGAAAGCCCAAAGGGACTTTAGAGGCCATCCAGTCCAACCTTCTCATTTACACACAAGGAGACTAGGGTCAGAGTGGTCCAGCAACTTTCCCAAAGTCACATAGATATTAAACAGCACAGCTAGAATTTTAATTCAGGCTCTTGGACCCCAAATGAGAATATGTTGAAGATGGTGAAAAAAAAAGAAGGGTGGGACAGACTAGAATAATCTGTTCCTATACAAAATGTAGAAATAGTGCCTACCCAAGTTAGGCACTTAACAAATATTTTTGGAAAAGAAAATTAATCAATAGAAGAATGGCTTTTAAGGTACTAGGAAATATTATATATATATATATATATATATATATATATATATAAGAAAACCATTTTTTTCTATTTTTGCAAACCTCCAAATATTGGTTTTTTTTTTCATTTTTAAGAGAGTTCTAGGAATAAATCCAGGTAACACTGATATTTATTCGCCACACTCATGCTAAATCTACTTAATTATTTACATTAGTCATAAATTCTTTAAAAGGTTTTGTTTTTTCTCCCTCAAGCTATGGAAATAAAATGTCTTCCCTGGAATATGTTATGTAAATATATACAAAATAATGAAAGTGAGAAGAATGTTATGTAAAGAAATAAAAATGAGAAGAAAATATTTTGTTAAAATGATGCAAACCCTAATTTATTGGGGACAAGAGTTTCTTGTAGGAGAAAACTCAGATTTGGTGGTACAAAGAGATGTCAGTTTCTTGATTAACATAATGGATAAACAGATGTGGATAACTTTGAATGGCTTTACAGAAACATAATTATATACTTTTTATTGATCTCTTGAGGCCAATTGAAGGTTCTTAAATCACTTGTTTATTTTAATCAGTTTTTCATAATGGGAAAGAACAGTGTGAAATTTGGAGTTCATTTTTTTTCTTTAAAAAACCTCCCGACCAGAGTACTCTGAGTTTGTCTTATGAAAGACATGCTTAGGCACCCATGGGAAAGGTTTGAGGGTTACTAGAAAACACATGTGAACCCCAACCAAAACAAATCACTATTATAAGCAGGATATCAAAGCCCTCTCAAAGATAAGGTTCAACAGGTTGAAAGGAAATATCTAGAGACATAATGTTCTGGATTGCACAAGGTTATTGTTGTCTCTGTCTCAGGTGAAGTCAGTGAAGTCAACAAGCCAGCTGCTGTGTTAAGTTCTGGGAATATAAATCAAACCCAAAAAAAGTCAAGATATTAAAATAGAACTTTCTTCAAATTAGAAAGGAAATGACCCCAGTCTTCAAGTACACTTGTCACTCAGAAATGTCTGTGTGGGGGTACAAGATAATCCCATTGGCCAAAATCCATTAGCATTACTCACAGTTTAGGAGCTTCTGTGGTTACTGTTCTATGGTTTCCTATCTCTGAGGCCAGATTTTCAGCACTTAATAAATGCTGATTGGATTGGATTGCATTGGATTGGATTGGATCATTCATTCTTTTTTTTAATGATATGTGGTTAACACCCTTGGAAAATAGGAATCAAGGGTCCTGGACTTTCTCCACTTATCATACTGATCTTCTTGGAGCTTAATAGGTCCTTAAACATAGACCAAACAGTCTGGAGAAATAATGACTCAGGTTCAGATTAAAAACCTAAACACCCACCACCTGTTCTAAGATTTAAAATATTACCATTAGAAATTCAGTCTTTGTGTTAATCCCAGTCCTTTTCCCATGATTTTCTTTTAAAAGACCAATATTCCCTCAGAAAGACAACTGAATCATTCTTGTGAATGGCTTTCAGATACAGTCTCATCAAGGGAAGAAATTAGGACTGTTTAGGATACTAGATACTTTGAATGAAAAGAAAAGGGAAAGATATTATTAACAAGTGACAAAAGAATTTGAACATTTGCAAAGTGCTTTACAAATAACTCAATGACAAATGCTATGGTTATCATCTGAATTTTGCAGCTGAGGAAACTGAGGTTGTGAAGGATTAAGTGATTTGCCCAAGGTCACAGAACTAGTTATAACCTAAAGGCAGTATTTGAGTCCTAGTCTTTCTGACTCCAAGGCTAAAACACCCTGCATTATATTGGTAAGGAAAGAACAAATTTTAATTGTACTTGGGAGCAGAATTTGTGATATATGGTTTTCCATTCATCTTTTCTAAGTGATACTTTAACAGTGGATTTTGTGTCTAAACACTTCTGTTGAATTCGACAGCATCCTATAAACATGGATTCATAAAATCTAAGGAATATACTCATCTACCATGCAGTTCATATTTTCAAAGCTTTGGGAATGAGGTAAAAAGAACCACAAATCCTTAAAATCAACAACAAATGATTCAGTTCAATTCAATAAATATCTGTTATGCACCTGTTTTATAGAACAGACCTGTATTTGGCTCTGGGAACACATAGGTTAAATGTATCTATGCCCTGCCCCCATTGAATTTATAACCTAATAGAGTTGTGGCTTATACATAAATAAATATGGTACAGGGTAGATTGGGATAAGGGCAAAGGACCATGGTAGAGACAAAGTGCTATAAGAAATATTATGGAAGGAGCACTCATAGCTGGGAGGATCAAAGGAAACTTTCCAGAGGAGGTGGTCCCTGTGTTATGTCTTGAAGAAAGGAATGGATTTCAACAGACATCAAGAGATATGGAGGGAGTATTTACAAATTAAATGTATAGAAACAAGAGAGGGCATGATACATCAGGGAATATATAGTTAGCCAGCTTTGCTGAAATAAAGAAGTCATTTAATGAGTGAAGAGAAATAAGGTTGGAAAGGAGGATGTCACCACATTGCGTAAGGCTTTAGATGTCAGGTTAAGAAGTTTGTACCTTAGCTTATGAGCAGTAGGGAGCCATTGAAGATTCTTGAGGAGGGGAATGATATGGCCATATCTGTGACTTAGTAAGCTTATTTTTGAAGGTATGTGAAGGATGGATTGAGAAGGCAGACCCTGGGAAAAGATGAGTACAAGATGAGTACAAAAAGATGAGTGAAGGCAAAAGATGAGTGAAAAGTGATGAAGGCATAAATTCAAGGGGTGTTTGTTCATTGTATAGTACAGTGGATAGAGCTCCATACTTGATTTCAGGAAGATATAAATTAAAACCCTGCCTCTGATACCTCAGTGATTTGCATAAGGGAATGAGAAAGATACAGGACAGGTAGAATCAATGCTTATGGGAAGTGAAATTGACAAGACTTGGCAACTGATCACAGCGGGGTGGGACGATACCTAAAGACAATTTAGAGTTTTTCAACCAGAGTGAGTAGCAGAATAACAATTCTTGCAATAATAATTTAAAAGTGGGATGAAAGGAAGGGTGTTGTGTGTATTTGTGTGTAGATGATAACTTGAGGTTTGTACTTGAAGAGTTTGGGGTCCCAGAGTAACATCCAACTGGAGATGTCCACAGGGCTACTGGAAATCTGGGACTCAAACTTCTGCAAATGATGTGAGTTAGGTAGGGAATGGGAATGGAATAAATCTTTACATATAGCCCACCTTATGCTAGGCAGTGTGCTAGGCACTTTACAAATATTATCTCATTTGATCCCCACGACAACACTGTGAGGTAGATGCTATTATCTTCACTTTCCAGTTAAGGAAAGTGAAGCAAACAGAGGTTAAGTGATTTCCCCCTGGTCACCAGGTTAGTAAGTATCTGAGGCAGGATTTGAACTCATATCCTCTTAAATCCAGGCCCAGCCCTCTATCCAATGCACTACTAGTTGCTTTAGATGGATAGGTGGATAGATGGATGGATGGATGGATGGATAAATGGAAGAAAGATGCATACTTTACATAGTTCTAAGCCCTCTGTCATCTCTATTTTGGGATTAGGGAAAGTACTTGGGGTGTGTGTGTGTGTGTGTGTGTGTGTGTGTGTGTGTGTGTGTGTGTGTGATTAGCAACAAAGTGGTGGAATGCTTATAAACATAAATGAGTAAGTTAAGTATTACTGTAGAAGGTAGTGAAGTCTCCATCACAGGACATCTTCTAGCAAAGCCTGGATGACCACTTTTTAAAGATATGATTCACACTTGTGGTGGGGTTTGGACTAGATTCCCTTTGAGGTCCCTTATGTCTAAAGTATTGTGATTGATTCTTGCTGAAATTCAATGAAGATATAACTATGAAAAATTTTAACTTCTAAATCCTGGGACTTTGATCTATCTTGTGGGTATAGATAAATTACCACCCAAATATGTATGTGTTCAATGGTGAATGTGATAATAAAAGGTTACAGTCCAGTGCAAGCCACTCCTAAGTGGGCAGCACTGTCATTGGAAATATTTAACATACTTTTGTTTCAATTCAACCAGGACAAGTGGTATATCTTAGGATGTCCACAAGCCTTTGTCTCTACCAGGGAGACAAGGAGAGCCTTCCAGATTGATCTGAGAAAATCTTAATTCTCAAATCTTATTCATTCTTCTCTAGAAGTTCTAATGAACACTTCTCTCTGTCTTCTTTGAAATGTTTTCCAGATCAGCAAACAGCAGCTACAAACAGTCAAAGACCGTTTCCAGGCCTTCCTCAATGGAGAGACTCAGATTGTGGCTGATGAAGCCTTCATGAATGCTGTTCAGAGTTACTATGAGGTAAGACTTTAGGATTTACCCAATAAAAGTGAGGGACATTCCAGAGGTGAGTACTGAGATGGTTAGGAGTTGGGAGCAGGAGTGGATGCATCTGTTTTCTTCAGAATAATTCTTTCTATGGTGAATATTCCACCATAGTGGTGAATATTCCACCATAGTGGAAATCAACATTGATAATTTGAGGAGAGATGACATCATATTGGGGGAATGTTGACCTTTCTGTTTGTCACCATCAAAGGATCAAAGATTATGAAATGTGTTTTTATCTATTTTCCTCTGCCAAACACTGGCAAATGAGATAATATTTGTAAAGTACTTAGCAAAGTGTCTGGCACATAATATGTGCTTAATAAATGCTTGCTCTCTTCCCATCCTCCAAGGCCCTATTTTTTGTGTCCATATCCATGAACTCATGTTCATGGAGTTAGGGAGGTCCTAGTGTATGTGGACAAGAAGTCCTCATAATCTACTAAATTGGAAATATTTGTGGAGTATGGACTCTTCCTAGATACATCAGGAGTAGCTATTGTCCTGCTCATCATCCTATCTCCATGGAGACCACACCAACCCTTTAGGCCCAGTGACCCCCTCTGAGATACATCAGGTCAAAGGTAGGCTGGGCCGGAGACTATAAGTTATTGGAGAATGAAAGTCCTTGCCTTTTGCCTTTCTTTGTGTCTCAGTGCTTAGCAGAATGTCTGGTACAGAGTCGGCACTAATAAACGCTAGTTGACTGATCTGTCCATTCAAGATGGTATCAAAAGGAACCTAACAAAAAAGAGAGGCTAATTTAGGACAACTATGTGTGGGGCACAGTTTGGGGTCCTAATTAAAAACCTTGGAGAGCTCCAAATCTTTGAAGTCTCCTATCTTAAAGGTGAATGAGCAATATAGCAGAGTATATATCTTTATATACCAGTAAGAGGGATGATAATAAGAGTAATAACTCTCATTTGTATAATTAGGCAGTGCAGGATTGAGTGTGGGATTGAGAGCTGCCCTGGATTCAGGTCCTGGCCTTGACCAATACTGGTTAGGTGACCTTGGAAAAGTTAATTCAAGTGCCTTAGGGAAATCTCTAACCTTACGAACTGCAAAGAAGTTACTTCTATTTTGAGAGAGGGAAATGAAATGACTTGTCTGTAGTCACACAACTGGCAATTGTCAGAGGCAAGACTTGATCTAGGTCGATCTGACTCCCAAGTGTAGTGCTCCATCAGCCATGCTTCTTGGTCTTTCTGATCTATAACCTTGATCACCCATGGACTGTGTCAATCCTGTGCTTTCTTCCCCTTGGCAGTCCCTTCTTAGATATACTGAGAAGCCTTTAGACCACGGGTGGGGAACCTGCAACATGAGGCTACATGGGGCCCTCTAGGTCCTCAAGTGTGTCTCTTTGACTAAATCCAAACTTCCCAGAGCAAGTCCTCTTATTAAGGGGGCCTTGAGGCAGTAGGTTCCTACCCCTGCTTTAGACAGTGCTCTGCCAGGGTAGCTTATACATTCCTCCTGAGGAAATAGAATTCAAAGCCAAATTTCCAGGTTAACCTTCTCTTCTCTATGTCAGACTATTAACTAAATCAATTTTTATAACAAAGTTTAGATACTATGGTGATGTAATAATAAGAAAATATCAATAAAATTTATTTTAAAAAATAATAATGGAGAGACAGAACCAAGATGACGGAAACAAGCAAGAAAGTTGCCTGAGCTCTCCCCAGTTTCCCTCAGAAACAACACTAAATCAAGCCTCTAAAAGAATTCTGGAGTAAAGAGTCCACAAAAAGACAGAGTGAAACAATTTTCCAATCCAAGATAACTTAGAAAGATTTCAAGAAGATCTCACTCACTAGGGTAAAAGGGGAGCACAGCCTAGTGCAGGAAGCATTTGGGCAAGCCAATGGGAGACTCTTAGCCACAGCACAGATCAGCAACCAAGGCCCTGTAGTTCTGGCTTAGCAGGTCAGTGGCACGGTAGGCCAACTGTGAGGCCTTCAGCCTCAGCACAGGAGGCAAACTGCCAGCTCCAGAACCCAGGGCACAACAGGCACTACTAGGCCAGGCCACCTCAGTGCAGTGAGCAAACCACTAGCACCTAAGGCCCTGGGAGAGAAAGCCAGTGACCAGGCCCCTGGCCCCTAGCACAAGAAGCTTGGGAGAGTGCCCCCTATATGCCAGGGGCAGATATCAACTTTTTAAAATGAGCAAAAAAATAAAAAGAGCACTGACCATAGAAATCTACAATGGCAACAGGGAAGATCAAAACACAAACTCAGAAGAGGACAACAATGCTAAAGTGCCTACATGCACAGCCTCAAAGGGAAATGTGAATTGGTCTTAAGTCCAAAAAGTCCTCTTGGAAGAGCTCAAAAAGAATTTTAAAAATCAAGTAAGAGAGGTAGAAGAAAAATTGGGAAAAGAAGTGAAAGCTATGCAAGAAAATTATGAAAAAAAGTCAACAACTTGGGAAAGGAAGCACAAAAATTAACTGAAGGAAACAACTCCTTAAAAAATAGAATTGGCAAAATAGGAAAAAAATTCACTGAAGAATATGACTTCTTTAAAAGTAGAATTGGCCAAGGAAACAGAAGATGGCAGAGTAAAAGCAGTGACTTGCCTGAGTTCTCCCCCAAACACATCCAAATACCTATAAAAATGGCTCCAAACAAATTCTAAAGCAGCAGAACCCACAAAAAGAGTGAAACAAATTTCCAGCCCAAGACAACCTAGGTGGTTGATTGGAAAGGTCGATCGCACTGTGGACTGAGAGAGGAGCACAGTTTGGCATGGCAGTTTCCAGACTTCTCAGCCCAAGAGCACCAAAGACAACTTAGAATGTCAGCGGGAAAGTCTGTGTCTGTTGTGAGAGAGAGAAGTGAGGTTCCAGCCCTAGTCTGGGGCAGCAGCTGCTTCCTGAGTTTCTGACCCACAGACTGAGGGGTAATCAAGTGGCTGATCAGAGGAGGATTGCAGGGATCTCTTTGCCAGTGCTAAGGCAGGAATCTCTTGCTTTGTCTGTACTTGGATCTGGGTCACAGTTCTGGGTGGCAGTCCTGGGGCGAGGAGGAGTGCTGGCATGGTGGAGCTTGTAGAGGCAGTGGAGAGGAAATCCTCTTCACAGTTCCAAGATGGAAAAGAGTGCTTGTGGTCACTCATAGACCAGAGCCAGACCAGGAAAAGAGCAACACTTTGCCCTTGATCATAGCATCTTGGAAGAACTGAAAATTTACAGGTCCCTAGAAGTATCTCTGAAAACAGTTGCACAAAACCCCTGAAGCTTGGAACAGTACATCCTCCTCACTGGAAGCAGACATCTACCTTAACAAAGAGTTTATAACTCAAGTAATTGACTGGGATCATGAACAAGCAGTGCAAAAAGAGTCAGCCCATAGAATCTTACTTTGGTGATAAAGAAGATCAAAACATACAACCAGAAGAAGACAACAAAGTCAAAGCTCCTACATCCAAAGCCTCCAAGAAAAATATGAATCAGTCCCAGGCCATGGAAGAGCTCAAAAAGAATTTTGAGAAGCAAGTAAGAGAAGTAGAGGAAAAACTGGGAAGACAAATGAGAGTGATGCAAGAAAATCATGAAAAACAAGTCGACAGCTTGCTAAAGGAGACCCAAAAAAATACTGAAGAAAATAACACCTTAAAAAATAGCCTAACCCAAACAGCAAAAGAGGTCCAAAAAGCCAATGAGGAGAATGACTTAAAAAGCAAAATTGCCCAAATGGAAAAGGAAGTCCAAAAGCTTACTGAAGAAAATACTTTCTTAAAAATTAGAATGGAGCAATTGGAAGCTAATGACTTTATGAGAAATAACAAATCTAAAAGAATGAAAAAATAGAAAACAATGTGAAATATCTCATTGGAAAAACAACTGACCTGGAAAATAGATCCAGGAGAGAGAATTTAAAAATTATTGAACTATCTTAAAGCCATGATCAAAAAGAGAGCCTGGACATCATCTTTCAAGAAATTAGCAAGGAAAACTGCCTTGATATTTTAGAACCAGAGGGCAAAATAGAAATTCAAAGAATCTACCAATCACCTCCTGAAAGAGATCACCAAAGGAAAATTCCTAGGAATATTATAGCCAAATTCCAGAGTTCCCAGGTCAAGGAGAAAATATTGCAAGCAGTCAGAAAGAAACAATTCAAGTGTTGTGGATACACAATCAGGATAACACAAGATTTATCAGCTTCTACATTAAGGGACCATAGGGTTTGGAACACAATATTCTGGAGGGCAACGGAAATAGGAATACAACCAAGAATCACCTACCCAGCAAAACTGAACACAATTCTTCAGGGGGGAAAATGGACATTCAGTGAAATAGAGGACTTTCAAGAATTCTTTTTTTTTCTTTTTTTGAGGGGGGAAGTAAAAATAGATAATTTTTATTTCATGAAATTTAAAAGATTTTGTACAAACAAAACCAATGAAGCCAAAATTAGAAGTAAAGCAGAGAAGGTGGAGAATAAAATTAAGGGGTGAGAGAGGATTATACAGAGAGAAGGAGAAAGGGAGAGGTAGAATAGGGTAACTTATCTCACATAAAACAGACAAGAAAAGGCTTCTACAGTGGAGGGGAAATGGGGTTAGGTGAGAGGGAATGAGTGAAGAAGAGGAGATTTTTACAGCAAGTTTCTCTAATTTCTCAAATATATAGGGAATTGAGTCAAATTACAAAAGTAAGAGCCATTCCCCAATTGATAGTCAAAGATATGAACAGGCACTTTTCAGAAGGAGAAATCAAAGCTGTCAATAGTCACATGAAAAATTTATAAAGGATTTATAATTTATTCAGCCTGGTTACTTTCTCCCCCGGTACAGGGAACACAACCCCTTTGGCCTTCAAATGTCTCTTGTGGCTTTTACCAGTTTCCAATCTATAACAAGGTGTAAATCAGTAACATAAGTTCTATCCTGAGAAAAGTGGAGAGGGAGGTCATTGAATATTTGAGATGAGGGAAGGGGGAAAAACCCTAAATAAG